CCTCCCTCCCTACCATCCTCAAGCGGGCTCATTCGACCCCTGTCAGGTTTGTATCTATATCTTTGCTTCTTACACTTGTCGAACTTCGTAACAAAGTTTCCCAAATTAGGCACAGTCTAAGAATTTGAATACAACGATACACCAAACAAGTATGGTGTTATTGCAAACCGTTTACAATTTTGAATCCAAACTGCGTGCCAAACACATCATCGTAAAAAAGATCTGTATAAAAAGGAGAAAGTTCTATGATTAGTTTGAGCATAGAATACTGTCGGATAACCCAAACCAAGGCAGGTGAACTTTATTGGGGAATACACAAACGCAGACTTTGACTAGTCAAAGCCTGACCCGGTGTGTGTGCGTGTGTATGTGTGTGTGAAAGCACGTAAGAAAACCACAATTCATTAAGGGTCGATATCCACCTCATTGGATCACAAGCCCTTCGGATGGCATCACACGTCCGATACACCTCGTTGCTCAATCGAACCACTGACCACTGCCACAACCAGGAAGGTCTGAATAGGTTGGGGTTGTTAGGTTGGGTTTATAGCCAACTCCTTAAGGTGAACTACCAGTGGTTCACTGACCCGGCTATAGCCCCCGATATTGGCTTTTCGTCCACTCAATTTGATGGGTAAACACTTCCGCTATGAGAAGGCATTACTTAGGGCTTCCTCCATGGAGGCGGTTTGAGACAATTGGTCACATCAAAACATTTGGTGAGGTGTAAGAGAAGAGTGACCTGCGACAGCCTAAGACATCTACTCCCAACCATGCTGAGGCTTTATGTGTGACTAGGTTCCCTTTGGTTGTCATAGATTGTACCTTTGTCTTGCTTAGGAGATAAAGATCAAATTGCTACATTCTCATTCTCGCTCCCAAATCTGGGAGGAAAGACCATGGAGTTCATCGATTAAACTATATAATCACAATCTACAAAATCGACCGGTCGCAGATTGAATGCGTCTAGAGCATGACGGCTTTAATTACGCTATAGGTTTTCTTTCGTCTCTGGTACACGGGGATAGTCTGCGGAAATAGAAGAATAGACGAGCTAACTGAACTCGGATTGGCACCAGCGGAGGTGAAGGTTGTGAAGGTTCGCAGTCCATCTAATTCACGGATGACTTGGCTTATGGCGGTGGTCAAGTAATAAGGTAGTCGAAGTAACCACCTAGGGGGTCCTGAGTTCAAACCCCGCAACGCCACTTATCTTCGCATTATCTGTATTTCCCTAGGTAATATTTTTATAGCCGCAACCCCCTTTCTGAGAGTCTATTGTACGTTCCTATAACCAATAGACAAAGAAAGAAAGCAAAAATGTTAACCTTATGGTTGTTATTATGACGTCTGTAACTCGTATTAGATCAAACAACATTCAGAAATTACCATAGTTAAAATCCGACTCCATAACCGGGGTCTGTGCATTCCACCGGGTTTCACAGTCTCTCTTCTGAATGGTATTCAATTACCGCTTTGCAGAGATGCATCTTTTGTCAGACTAGATGGAATTGACTTCCGAAGGTTTAACATGTGAAGAGAATACTCGGAAATCGGGTGTTTGATGGGCATTGACGTTAGGCTACACTTGGTCAGGTTGCATTCATGTGCTCCCACTGTTGTTCATTTGGGTCTGAATGCGCATTCTAACTGTGCAGCGAGTTTGTTCTCACATTTCGTTAGAATAGGATGGAAGTACACAGTTTAGAAAATTCAGCTCAGGGATTATTGTCTCTTACTCTGCCGCTGAAACGTGCAGAGGTTTTCGTACAGAATCGAGTCTCATCTATGTCGACGATGTTAACCGTTTAAAAGCGGCAGTTGCGTACACTTCCTCACCACTTGTATCTGAGGACCATCTGATTGGTGTGGCCCGTTTTTTTTGGATGCGAATAGGGCCACCAAACGGTGATGCATTGTTTGATTTTATGAAAACCTGTGCTTGACCAAAACAGCTTATGATCCGTCCATACTGAGAGTGAGGATCCTAACCCAGTTATTCAAATGACTGCATTTGAGGTCATAGTGGCTCCTTAGATGATTTTCACTTAGTAAAATACTATTGCTCATTGCGGTGATCTGTGATCGAGACATTCGTTTTTCCAACCCTACTTAAGAAATTTGAATCGCAGTCATTCGAAATGTATGTATGCGGATGGAACGTGTAGACAGGTGCTGCCTGTCTTGTTGATATTACGCAATCCTCTGATTTTTTGGGGATAGAGCCAGCCACTCAACCGAATGATATGTTCGCACCTTCTTGTACCCCGAATCTATCGACAGGCATAAACAGACACTATGCCTGTGTTGTACAGAGGACTCCATCGTTCTAGATAGCCTAGATTCCAGCTAATTGAATGCAGCCAACATTTGCTCCGAAGTCGTCGAGGACCGTTTCCAGCCTGAGGCAATACACTCCGTTAAACGAGGGTCTCAGATAGCGCATTGATGTCATCAACTACGGTCGGGTATTCTCTGAGAGCGATTCTTGGTCCGGAACCCGGATGAAACCCAGAGGCCTAAGTCTGGGGATGGGTGTACATAAGGGAAAGCTGTTTATAAGGTTTGATACATACAATAGTTTCGTGTCGGTGATGTTCCGAGGGAGAACAGCAAGTGATTCGTGTGAGCCGGTTAAACCCCAATGTAGATATCCTTGTATCCACAACTCAAAGACAAGTTTGGTAGCATGTATCTCTGCCCATGCTCCGGTGCCTTTGTGTTCAGGTTTCCGTAGTATCGAAATGGAGAAACTGATTCGTTTATTCTTTTTTCCAATAAATGAAAAAGTGAACACTCAAACCGATCCATTGCTTTTATCAGGAATAATCTGGTTTATGGTACGTACTTCTGTTACGCTTCACTTCCGGTCCCAAGGATTGTGGTTGTCTATTTCAAAACATTCAGCATGATTTCTTAGTATTAAATAAAATCTTCTCGCATTTTACCTATGCCGTGTTGTGTACTGAAAACGTTCATATTGATATAAAACTTTGAGCTGCATAACGGAGCAGAATAATTCTGTAAATATTTTCTCCAGACTACCTCTCAACCGAACGAGGCTCGAACGCAAGGCGGCACACCGAGAAGACTATGGATTGTGGCCAACGGGACTCATTTGCAGATCTGGGCGGAGAACATCGCTTCGCGTTATCGTGCACTAATTCTGTCCGATTCAAAACTGCATGACCTCGCTGAGCAGGATGGTAAATCCTTCGAAAAATTTTACCCGTTGAAAAGAACTGACCGATTTCGGCGACTATTCAAACAATTCTTGCGGCTACAAGATCGAGTGAGTGTATATTGTTAAACCGTCTCCATTGTAATTATTTTGTTCACGTTGCATTCACAGTCAGGTGTTGTTATTTCCTAGCATCTTATTACTCACACTGTACAAAGGAATCTCCTTAGGCATTTGTCTGTGTGTGGGAAAGAATGCTCCTGAAAAGGTTTTGAAGTATCATATGTGTGAGATCGAGCGAAGCGTACTTTAGTTACACAACTTTGGATGAATGCTTGAGTACATAATAATTATCATTATCTTCATCATCATCATCATCATCATCATCATCATCAGCAGCAGCAGCAGCAGCAGCAGCATCAGCATCATCCGAGTCTTCCTAATCATTATCATCCGCGATTGTGGAACACATGACGTCTGCCGTTCATCACACAGGGGATGCAAATTTCTGGTTATGCTAAACCAATAATGCAAAATCGGATGATTAGATACCGGTGCAAATAATCTACTAATAGCATGAGAAGGACAATCAAAGACTACCTATGAATAAACAGACGTACAAAGAGAACTGTGTTTTACTGAAATATTAATTTAAGGTCACTCACTGATCTATCTGGGGGTCATGGTTAAACGAAACAATGTGAAACCCGGTTTAAAACCGGACTGGACAATAACTTCGTACTACAGACAATCAGGTTGTGAAGGTTTCCAACTGAGTTGTAACCCCGGATGATAGTGCTGATAAGAACCGATACCCGCAACAAGCTCGTATAGACGGGTTGTGCTATATCGGGTATAATCAAAATAGGAAACAGTCTGATCAGCTACTCCAGGTTGGTCGAGTGGGTAGTATGCTTCATTTCGGCCCGTGAGGTCTCGGGTTCAATCCCAGTTTGATCGACGAATTCGCACTGCTCATAAGACCCAACCAAATCGAAACGGCTGTCTAGTGGTTCTCAGTTTATTAGCCTACGCCTCGTTTACTCTTTATGTGCAACATATAAACAAATCAAATTCTCCGCTACTTCCCAATATTGTCCAATGTAATTGTATTATCAAACTGATCAAAGAATGAAGCGTTCAGTGTCCACCATNGCAGATCATTTTTAAGCAATCTAGACTTTCCCAGAAATGGGTTACAGTTTATGAATCAGACTACAGATTGTGAAAGCGTGATTTTTGCCACCGAATTCGTTCGTAAGACCACATTCGAAGTGAACCGCTTTATCGTAAAAGAAACAAGTGAGATCTCTGTTACGGAGGATGCGTAGATATTGAATTCTTTTGCATATTCCAACCCCCCTCCCCTCATTGTTCATGGTGAAATCTATTTATGCTTGTCTGGTGAAAAATGGCGCTGTAGTGCTTGTCCGCAGATTTGTTCATTTGTTCAATGACGAAATGCATCGCTCAAACACACTAAGGGGTGCGTTAGACCCAAGTTATGACAACCTTTTATGAGTGACCTGTACAATTTCGTCAAT